TCGCGAAGAGGCCGGCCTTCAGCGGAAACAGCAACGCCCACTCGATGGACTTTTCGCGCGCCTCCATCGCGAACTTTTCTCTTTTCTTGGATAGATTTATAAAAAAAAAAATACCAGGACACTCTACAGAAATTTACGCAACACCATCGCGAACCACACGACAAACTAATTAAGAGAGTTTCCGCAGCACGAGAATATCGTTATCCGCGCGATAACGCGGCATCCGGTCACTCCGGTTATCAAACTTCGGAAGTTTCAATTTGCGTTGAATGATTATCCGACAGTTTCACTTCGAAGCAACCCGAACGGCCAGAAGAACAATATTTCCATCCTGCTCCTAGCACGTTAACGCAGAAGACGACGGAGAAGACGAGCATCCTGCCTCGGGGAGCACCGCGATCAGACTCTCTGATAGATCGTGCGGGAATTAAGGCAGAGGAGGTGGTCAGCCCCTGACGGACCTCTTGGTGATATTTTCACTTAAGTTAACACGACACCCCGTGCAGACGTACCCTCTGCGCGCTATCGACAACACTTCCGTCTAATAAAAGCCTAATAACGATCGATATCCTCGCCTCTCTTGGCTTTCTCTGCTTTCCCCGGGGCCGATTCCTCATCACGGTTCGCGGATCCCCCCCTGCCAGGCCTGCAGAAGAATCGAGAGCCCTGGTCCCGGTGAAACACTTTTCTCGACCGTTTCGCGTCGGTCGACGTCCGGTGAACTAATACGATACAGAAGGATGCCAAGTTCGTTCGTAACGACAGCGTTGATAACCGAATGGCGGGGAGCGAGAGACCTTGTCGCGAAGGTGATACCACTAACTCTGAGCTGCCAGACCGACATACGGGCTTCCGATTGCGGCTGGCCCGACTGACCTACATAGATTGCTGCCCTACGAGGCCCTGCCGCTGGAAAAGAACGCGCTAGAGAACGTGCTGCGCCTTCGAAAACGGATTTCACGGTTTTTTAGCCGGAGTTCTTACGCGGAATAGCTGTAAATAGCTGAAGAATACGTGGCGTAGCTGTGAAACGATGTAAACAAGTTGAAAGAAAGACGGTTGTATCTAGATGGTTGAAAGGGTCGCTTGCCGTGCAAACAATAAATAGCCGTTTCAATAATTTTGCAAAGTTTTATGATCATAGATCCTGTATTTGTTGGAACCCGGCAGGATGCTTGATTATAGAATCTTGTAACCGAGTAAATCATTTGGAACATTTTCTGAAATTGTCGATGCGTAATAACTGAAACAATGTGACGACTGTCTTACGTCTTTTTTATATTTATGCAGTCCATGGTTCCATATTTGCACAGTTGCAATATCATCTGTTGCCCAAGGTTGGAGCGCGTATCGGGAAAATCGAGGAAATAGAACATCGATTACTTTGTGAAAAATAATTTGAAATTTACAATTGAATGACTCGTAAGAATCCAAATGCACGGAGCATTCTTCCGAGATGCGTTCTCTATAATTTTCGTACGACATCTCGTCGCAATTCGATGCAAAGAAAATCGTAAAGGTTAGATATATTTGAGGAAGAACCCGTGGGAACTGGAATAAAGTGCAGACAGTGCACGGTCCAGGAAGAGGGTAGCGCATTTTTATGCGAACGATAAAACGACACGTTGCTCGGGGAATTCGCCAAATATGAAGTAACGCCGCGGGAGCGGTGTCTAGAAACAATAAAAAGGCTATATGCTAGAATCGAACAGAATAGAGTATAGAGGTAACAGCTGCTGACGTTTGTGAGCTTTTGCAAATCGCTTCACTCTCGGGTTACAGCTAAGAAAAAGCGTCTCGCGTGAAAGTTCCTTAAATAAATGGTTCTTAGAGCGGTTTCTTTTCGGCGACGAAAAATCTGTCATAAAATAATATCTACCGTAACGAAAGGTGAACTAAAATTCTTTGTAAGGTATGCGTTCGCGAATGTATCGATAAACAATGGGTTATATTTAATTGTACCGTCAGATTTCCGGTTTAAAGAAGCGAAATCGATCACCGAAGAATTGGCCATTTTTCGTTCTTACTTCATTTCTCGCGAACGGTAGGAAATACGAGCAATTTAAAGAGAAAAATCACTTCTTTCAAGCAAATTTATCGTCTACCGAAGCTATTTGGTTTTTCATCGATATATCCACTATAATACGCGAATATATAGAAACGTCGAAGCACTTTGGTCAACTGTAGTGGGAATATATTTCTCCGTATTGTATAAAAGTTTTCTATAGCCACGCGAATAAGTGGTAGCTGTTAATAAAATTCTAAATCCGCCTGAATAGTTTGTATCCTGCAGTCTATTAATTTTGAAAAATGAAATAAAAACGAAGAACCAGCCAAGACCACGCTTATTGTTTCGATATGGCCCGTATGACCCTAAATTCTTTATCTTTCCTTCCTTCGATCCCGCATATATTCTCGTTATCTTTGATCGTAATGCCCCACACGTAATAAAAGAGTCTCTCGTAACATTAGACCCCCGACTGTCCAAGCCTTTTTCTTTAATTGACTCGTTCGTTGACATCGTTTAAGAAAACCGTCTGCCGTTCTATTTAATGTACAAGTAACGTGCAAGTAATATTTTTTACTTCAACGTTCCTTCGTAAGTCATAAATCTGAATAATGGAGGGTCTACTTTCCCCCCAATTAAAAACATAAATACAAAGAGCGCACCATTGGAGCTACGTCTTCTCGATCGATCTCGTAGATGCAAATTATTCGCATCTATCGATCCCCAGTCTGTCATTACAGTTTTCAGAGCCGGACTTGCGCGTGCAAACAGTCTCGTCGCGATCGAGTAACTTCTCGCCGCTGTTGGCTCAACGAATTTACATTTTCCATCGCAGGGGCGAGTTTCTCAGCCGGTTGATCGACTACGATGGCTCCCAGGAGCGCGCCAGATGCGTACTTAGGGCGCTACGATTGGGCGACAAGGTTGCGTTAATGGAAGTTTCGTGTCGCTCGCTGTTAATCCGCCACTCGTCGCTCCGACGAGTCATTTTCAAGGTGACTGGCCGCCCGATAGCTCGCACTTTCTGATGGGGATTTCTTCCGACGACACGGCCCCCGATTTCGAAATCTTTTCCCCCACATCTTTCTCTTCCTCTTCTCATCTCGAACGAATCGCGTACAAAACGATCAGATTCGCCGCTCGTCCCAAAACGTATTCGTCTATAGGTGTGGGTAATCTCGTATCTTTCACCGTGGTCGTCGATAAAACTTTTAATGAACATTCGTTGTACAGTTCTAACGGCTCGTAAAGATAACGATGAAACTCTTCGTTCGTCGACGTAATTTATACGCTCGTCTCTGTTCTCCAGGATGAGGATTACGCGCGGTGACTAATACGAGTCGAGTTGCAGCGACAACGCTCTCCCGTTCGTCGAAATTGAATCGATCGGGTTAACAGATGAGTAATTCAATTTGCAGACGTTTATATTGATTACAAGTTGAACGGTCTTCGTGTAAATTCTAAGCGAGTCGAGATCTTTAATTAAGATGAATCGATTGGACCTCGGTCGCGTGAATTTATCCACGTCTGAAATGCAACCGATCGTAATTTGAAAGCGTTTACAATTCGACCGGAGAGCGTCGATTTGTAGAATTCACCTGTAACGGTGCAGAAACGAAGACATTCGATTTACCGTGGAGACATTCGCCATCCATAAATCATTCTTGCGCGACTCGGACGCGCGCTGTGGCTTGCGAAAGTGGTATACGGACTTGCAACCTTCCGATTCGCGATGAATGATGCGTTACACAGGTGATAAACCAACGGAGAACCCGTAGATGCAGTCTTCAACCGTGACAAGAGTACGTGACAAACCGACAAGCCGTGAAGGTAATGATTGACAAGGCCAACGTTGTATCTGCGAAGGACTGCCAGAGAAATGCGGGTCGCCGGTATTCAGTGGCCGCATTTTTCGGAAGGTCGCCACTCAGGTCGTTGACTATCGTTTCAATGAAACGGAAAGCTATTTTCGCTCCACTGCACACCTACACAACCATCTCTGTGCAATTATTTCGGTCTCAAAATGTAGGCATCTTCGACCGTGGCACTTCGATGTACGTAAACATTGGAGTTCTTCGTTCATTTCATATCTTGTGTACATGTATTATTGCATTTTGTGCACCTTTCTCAAAATAAATTGCTCTGATAGCTTTCGTTGAGCAGGTTAAGTCTCTTGCTCAGGATCAAATCGTAGATGTTTAAAGTAAAATTGTGAATATTAAATTGGGGAACAATATTGTATCATTTAGACAATATTAAAGTATCAAATTTAAGTCCTGAAAAGTGCAAATTCAAATGTTTGGGCAAGTTTGGTAGTGATAAAGACTCTGATTTTTATGAAACTTCGCAATTATTGATTCAACCTTCGAATTATATCGCATTTCGTTGTCACTACTTTTCAACAGTAAAGAAGATACCACCCCTAGGTCAAAGTCACCCATTTTAATCGTGGCTATACTCTTAAATTACAAATAGATATGAAAAATACCGTTTTTAGAGGCCTATAAACGAATGGGAAGAATTTTTTCTTACTAATTTACAGATCCACCGAAACAGTAAACCTTCCAACATCTTTTATAATCCAGGAGTTACCTGCACATAAGTACTTTGTAAAAAGAGTAACTCTGACACAAGGAATGCTTCCTCCCATAAACTAAAAAAGTAGTAACAACTAAATGCCAGATAATTCTCAGATCGAACCAACCACCGTTTGTAACAAAGTTTCATCAGAACTGGGGTCCAAAGTTTGCTCCCTTGTGAGTCGTTTCTTATGAAAGAAGACTTCCTAAAAATATTAAAAAGAGTATTCAAGGAAATACCCACTTTATAAACTTGTTTATAAAACATTTCTAGTTGCTTAAAAATCTTCAGGCTTTGGACAAATAAACCTCCATTTCCGTTTACGAGTGTTCCTATCTGCAGAAGCTTGTTCACGCTGAGTTATACGTTCATACTGATTAGAAAATGAAATACAGCTTGTCGTAGTACTCACCCGCAGCTGCATGACGATTTGGTTGTACGCCCAATGCCATCGTTGCCTCGATGTCATCTCCGGCCGTTCTTTGAGCTGCGTAGGCATTGGTGCAGCGCCGACCATCTCGAGAAGTTCCTCGTCCGGTGGCGGTTCGGGTGGACTCCTCGGTGGAGTGTCCATCTGGACGCTTTCTTCCAACGATGCTTGTTTCGTTATACTCCCTGTCATTCGACAATCCATAAATCAACAACCGAGAATAAGTGCAACTAAAAATACACGCTACGACTGCGATCTTACCGTGAGGGCTGTCCGTGTGCGACATGGGCGGTGTAGTTTTGTACGAGTCCACTAACGAGTCCTCTCGAGAAGTGCGAAGCATCGCTTCATCGGCTCGCTCGTACCTTAAAGAACGATAAAACCATGAAAATCCACCCGAATCTCTCAAAGACTAAATTCACCATTATTTTCTAAAACAACGCGCGATTACCTTTCGAGAGACTCGTTCCTCATCTTGTAATCGTCGTTGACCGCGTTGCTCAGAGCAACGTCCGGCTCCTCTATAGACTCTTGGTCTTTGAAGTATCCGCGCTGATAACTTTCAGCTCTGGAGATCGGTTGCGGGGCATTGAAGTTCTGCCCATAGCTGCCTCTCTTCTGATACGAGTCCGACCTGGTCAGGGGTGGCTTGAAAGTCTCTTGAGTGGTCGAGGAGAACGAATCCTTCCTGGTCGGTTGGGTGTACGAACCCTTTCTGCTGTAGGACTCTTCGGGGAAGTGATCGGACGCGTACGAATCCCCCCTGGTCAGTTTCGGTTTCTGTGAGTGCTGGCTGTGCTGGGAATGCTGGCTGAGCTGACTCTGGTGCGAGTCCTTTCTCTGCGGCTCCTTGGGAATGATTTCCGGGTACTCTTCGTCCTCGATGGTGTCCTCGTGATAGGACTCGGTCCTGACCAATCGTTTCCCGTTCGCCGTGCCCGTCACCGTCATGTTCGACGTCACGTGATTCGACGTTACGTGGTTCACCATCGTCGTAATCGGTTGCACCGTGGTCGACGGAGACTCGATCAGGGTGGGAACAATAGGAACGGAGTCGCCGGCTATCGGATACTCGCCCACCTTCTGCTGGATGCTACGAATCGAGCTCACCGTAGTGTCGATCGACTCCTTCAACTCGTCGTCCCTGGACTCCAAGGAATCGGTGTTCTGTTGAACGAGCGGACTCGGTTCGCGCTTCTCGAGCTTCTTCCGTCTGGTCAGTCCAACCGCGGACACTTCTTGGCTCTCTTGGGTAGGATAGAAGTAATCCGACTCGCTGGATTGGTAACCGTTGGTTCTCGTCTGACCTCTCGGTGTGGTCACCGACAACTCTGGCACCTCGCTCTGTCTCCTTTCCGTGCTGGCCACTGGACTCTCCTTGTAACGCTCCTCGAACGATCCTTGATAAGAGTCGTGATAGGATTCCTCGTACTGATCCTGGTAGTCCTGGTATTGATCCTGATAATCGCTTTTGTACGGCGCGCTGCTCGTTTCTTCCTTGCTGTAGGGCGGCTGATAATCGACGTAGTCTTTCTCGTTGTTGTACGTGTCCTCGTAGTTGCTTTGAGACGTAACGGGCACTTGATTGTAGGTATCCTGTTTGCTGTAGGCGTCCTGTTGGTTGTAGGTATCTTGTTGACTGTAAGTATCTTGCTGGTTGTATGTGTCTTGCTGGTTGTAAGTATCTTGTTGATTGTACGTGTCTTGCTGGTTGTAAGTGTCTTGCTGGTTGTAAGTGTCTTGTTGGATGTAAGCGTCTTGCTGATTGTACGTATCCTGTTTACTATACGCGTCTTGTTGATTGTAAGTGTCTTGCTGATTGTACGTATCCTCTTTGCTGTATGCATCTTGTTGATTATACGTGTCCTGTTGGTTGTACGTATCCTGTTTAGCGTAGGCATCTTGTTGGTTGTAAACATCCTGCTGGTTATAAGCGTCTTGTTGGCTGTAAGTATCCTGTTGGTTGTAAGTATCCTGTTGGCTGTAAGTATCCTGTTGACTGTAGCTGTCTTGTTGGCTGTAGGTATCCTGTTGATTGTAAGTATCCTGTTGGCTGTAGGTGTCCTGCACGCTGTACGGGTCTTCGTTGTACGCGCTCTCTTTGAACGTGTCCTGATTGTACGCGTCTTGATTGTACTTGTCCGGATAAGCTTTCTGATAGCCGGTCGACGTATTTATATTGTACTGCGAATCGTATTGCTCGGGTGGGTACTGATTATAAGTATTTGTCACGTTGTTTTGGTCGTATACGCTCGACGGCACGGACACGTCATAATCGCTGTATTGCTCTTGGTACGCGTCCTTTTTGTACGAGTGCGTCTTCTTTCTCTCCTTTTGCACGTTGTTCTGCTCGTAACCCATCACCTGGTAATTGTCGTCGGTACCCGTTTTTCTATATTGATCGACGGTTTCGCTAACGTATTGATCGTTCGGCTGACTGGCGTTCGGATATGTCATGTCCTGATACGTGTCCTGATAAACTTGAGCGTTCTGTTGAACGTAAGGCGTTTGGTACTCGTCTTTGTACGAGTTCTGTAAATACGTCTGATCGTACGGATCCTGCGTCTGTGGCTCTTGATACGAACGACCGTACTGTTCGGCGACCTGGGGCGTGTAACTGGACCCGTATTGACTATCCTCGACGTACTGAGTTTTCCCAGGCGCGTGGATCTGATCGTAGCCGCTCTGGTCGCTGTATATGCTGTCAATGTAGGTATCCTGAGGTAAATTGTCTTGACTACGATAAGCGTAATTATAGTCCTCGTTGTAGTCAGACTTGTAATAGCCTTCCTCGGAGGGCGTTCTAGTCTTTGGCAGTTGCCTGCTCGGCGTGGCAGGTAAGGAGGTAAGCTTACGGCTGATAATAACGTTGCTGGGTTTTGTTGGTGTCGGAGGTAGTTTCTTCCCCGTCCCTTCTTGTCGAGACGTCGGTCGTTGTTGGGGTTGAAGCGGTTTTCGACGACGGGTACTATGGCCGCTGTAAACCGCGATTCAACGTATTATTAAACGACTCGATTTTGTAAATGTAAGAACGAGTGGGAATCGAATGGAAAGAATTATGATAATACCTGTAATTGAGTTCGTCGGATTCGTAACTGCGTTGTCTGGTAACCGTTGGTCTATAATCGGGTCGATGAATACCGATGCTAGATGCAGGCCTCTGTGGAAGCGTTTTTCTATTCCGTTTGTTCTCGTAGTAGATACTTGTTCCTAAATACCATTTCCCTCCGCTGTCCCACTGTCTGTCCTCGTCGTCTTGACCGTACCTAGCGACGCGAACGATATCAGACACAAACATCGGATGGAAAAACCAATATATCGCGTTAATAATAGCACCAGGCCGAATGAAAGACCGTCGATATTCGGAACATTTACCTTTCGTCCTGATAAGTGTATCCCGTGATGCTATCGTAGTATTCATTGTATCTGATGTCCGTCTGGCATTCCGGATACGTGGCACTCATCTTCCCGACTCTTCCTTCGCTGCTGTATTCATCAGCGTAATAAGAGTGATCGTCGTACAATGTCATCTGCCTTTCTAGAGACGGCCGTCTATGGGGACCTGTTTACGAATGGAAATGAACAAATTATTATTCGAGATACCATTACGATGCGGATAAAGATAAGAAAATGATGACTTTGAGGGAATACGAATCCCGGAGAAAGGAATGACAGCGTCGTTCGATGCGATGAAAATGGAGATTAATTAAAGAGCGAAACACGAGCTGCGTGCTCAAGTTGTATACTATTACCTCTTCGTCTAGAAGAGCTCGTCGTGGTGCTCGGGTAGTACTCCGTATCGCTGTAGATCCTTGTTTCGTCGACTCTTGTGCCATGATAGTCGTAACCCTCGCTGTACCAGCCGTCTTGGCTGAAATGACGAAACCACGATGAGACAAAGTCGCGTTAATTGTACGGGAGCGATAGAAGCGTAGACGAAATGACCCGAGATAAATGACGATGCTCGCTGGAAGTATGGCTTGGCAAAAAGACACTTCCATCGACTTCGCTGATAACTGCAGCGAGACTGACTGCACCATGCAACTACCTGTGGATGTTCAGTGCATTCTCTTTGGCCCATTTAACGCGAACTATAATATTATCGTAATTTCCATCGACGTTCTCTATTTAGTTTCGTCGCGTGTACGGTCCCTCGTGACTATGAACGCGAAACGAACCATCCGCGTCGAGGATTTCGTCGAGTGATCGCGACGAACTAAACTATAAGATCGTTGCTCTATTCCGTGATCGAACGTACACACGTGCCTGGCTTGTGCGCGATGTAATTGCATGTAAAAAGCTACGTCGTTGCCGGTGCGCCAAGACACATGATTAAACTAACGGTGTGGTACGCTAACACAAAACAAAAATGTTGCTAGATGAATCGTGTGATCTAACATTCGATAAATGCGATGAAAATCATTGAATTTCTCACGAAATTTGCTGGGGTACATATTTCGTACCTGTCCTCGTAATCCCACGTGTGCTTCCGTCGTCTGTATCAGGCAAAAAACAATAAACGATTTTTTTCAAGTTCGTCCCGATTGACGGGCCAGGGCCGTACAACAGATCTCGAATTGAATTTATGAACGAGACACCAGCAGACATATCAAAATATCAGAATGTCTCTCGACAAAGTGCACGACCCTGTTGATCTTCGTTTCTCACTAATCGACTATAAGAGATCATATATAAATACAACGTAATCATTAGTTTTGCAAAGCAGACAAAGTGATAGAGAAGAAGAAGAAGAAGAAGAAGAGGAGGGATAAGAAGAGTTACTATCTGTTTTCTTTACGAGTATTGTCATTCGATGTTAGAGGTACAAGTATTGCTGTAAGGGAGAACTGTTCACTTCTTGTAACGTGTGGACTCTAGATCGATTTCTGTGTGTACTTTGTGCTTTAAGGCTCGTAAATGTGAAATACCTGTATTCCTTATAGTGTCTTGGTCTACTATTGTAGAAGAGTGGCTCGGAAGATTCTGAAGCGTGTTGAGACTGAGAATACCTTTGCGGTGGACCTTCTTCGGGATACGGTTCGTCGTAACGTGGACTATGGCCCGATCCACCGTAACTTCCGTAATTACTCGGAGCTAGTCTGCCTCCAACTGTAGCCGGAATCTAGCGGCACAAACGATTCTGTCGTTAATTTCTTCTACATCGGGAACTTTCATGAATTAACCATCCATAATTCCATTCGATGAAACGAAGTTTTCCAAGGAAACCTTTGTCTTATAAGAGATCCGCGAGAACCAAAGTGGACCAACCTCGCGAGACTTATCTTTGAATAATAATAACCACGATGGATCGTGCGACTCAACTTTTCGAATTAATCGATCGCAACGTTTTCGTTAAAAATTTATAGTAATACCTGCCGCGGAAATACGAAAGTATTATAAATAAATCATACGAGTTGATTTCACGTTATAAATTCCTGTATGGAAAATTTATGGTTGGCCCACTTTTGCATTCATGACCTCGTATATTATACATTCGTGATTAGGATTTTATCGCGACGACTGTTTATTTATACAATCTGGCTCGCCCAACTTGCTCGTCCACGTATGTGAACGAATTTACGATGTAAATATTTCGCACTAGATTTACACATACATATGTACCTCTTACTCTTGTAACTTCTAAATCTACCGATTACGCAAATTAATATATGCAGTAACTAAAGATATACTTGGCAATTTTCGCAATACACGATAGATATAAGACACATACGCTTGAATTTAAGAGGTTCGCTGCAACCTAATACATAGAGTAAAGTAATACTTCGGTTTGAGAACGAAAGCCAGCGACCCGACGTTAATAGGCGACTTCCAAGCAGAGTTGCCAGACGTAGCCCATTCTTGGGTGCATTAACCCCTTTCAGAAACGATTTACACAAAATATGTTTTCTTAACAATCTGGAATACGTAAAGTATCTCTCGTTTGATGTTACGTACACGATAAGACGAATAAAGACAAAATTTATATTGCAATGTTCTATAATCGGGAAATTTAATTCTGGATATTCACTCTGAATTTTAGCAATTACTCCCACGTTAAAATGCTTAACATAATATCAAAATATAAACGTGTGCGCCAATATTCCAGAGAGGTCTAATTTTTAAAATGAAATCTTCGACTCGGCAATCTTGGATTCAATGTTAATAGCTATCGGATAGAAATTGCGAACTATCGATCAATCAATACCTGATGATCATCCCTCTCGTAGCTATTTTCTCTCGAGGTCTCGAGGGATCTTTGAGGGGTGGCCAATTGGTTGGCAGCTGTACGAAACTGCGAAGCCGAGCTGTTCGCACCTTGTCCGCCTACTGGATAATTCAGGTCCGACGTGTAGTCTGAATCCTCCGAGTAACCAGCTGAAAGGCAATTAAAATTTCAAGTTACTACGTGACCGGACCTCCCGGTACGATCGTCGTAACGACGTCTTTCGACGGACGCGTCACGGCGCGAAGAAACATTACCGTTCATTCGCGCGAACGAAATCGCCTTTCCTGCGGATTCACCGAAACGCAACGGTGAAAATTAAATACACGCGTGACAACCGAGCGACACATTTGCCCAAAAATAAACGTATCCTTCTGCGAACGACGCTTCTCGGGAGTAACGATCGTTGGAACGAACCACGATGAGTCTTTTTATATCCACGGCGTCTCGTCGCCGAAATAGTAAACGACGCGTAAACGACGGAAAGGAAATGTAATTACGAGCGACGGGCGTCGTTATTTATTTCTCGCCGTTTATTGAGTGGTAATTCGAGATCCATTGTTCTCGATAATCCGTTTCGAAAACTTCCCGAAGTGAAATTGGTCGATATTGGACTGAATCCGAAAAATGGAAATTGTGCAACAGCAAGGGGGGGGGGCAGGGTAGATAGAAATAATTAATATCCATGCGATTCGTTGATTAACATCCAGGTATTTGACGTGTCAGCAGGAGAGTTTTAGTATTTTAAACTTGTCAGAGGGGGTGGGGGGTGGTGGAAGGTGTACAATGGAATTCCATAAAGGGGAAAAGTGAGAATAGGCGGCCTGATAAACTGTTTTTTTTTTTTTTTGTTTACATAAACAAGGAAAGATATATGAAACTGTCATCATGCCAAAGATGTGGTGATCATTGATGGCGAGAGAACTTTAAAATAGGGGTGGAACTATTAGGGGTAAGTTACCGACGATTTTCGATGGTCGATAACCACAATAGGAGCGACGTTTCACACTATGCTTGTTAGATGATGTTATCCACGCGCAGGCTCCGTGGATAATGCAATTGCAATTGCACAAAGCATTCTTATGGTCGCTGATCGCAGATAAAAAAACTAGCATGGCGCTGAATCGAATTTTATGCGAAAAGCTACGGTAGAACCTTCTTCTAGCCTCACCAAAATAGCGTTCGAGCAAACTCATTCTGAAAATCGTGAATAAAATTTACTGCAAAACAACCGTAAACGTATTCGTTGTAGCTAGACGAATACAGAGCGATTCGGGAATAGTTGAACTATTTAAAAAATGGATTACTTGGTCAGGTTGTTCGAGATCGAATCAGATCGGAAGTATATTCCTTTACGAGTTGGTTTTAATCCCGTTTTTTGGACGAAATTTAGTCACCGAATAATGCATTTTCCAAACTGTTCGATCTTCATTGACTCGGTCTGATACATTTATTCCGAAACGTGGTCACAGTCGCACACAAAATTAACAAAAAAACGTATCAACGACTTCTGTGCACAATTAGATGTGAAAATATAAACAGTGCTGCATAATAAATTTAAGAGAAAAAAAATTGTCTCCCCGTTTCAAAGACATAAATTTTCAATTGTGACGCAGAGAATACAACACGTTTTATTAGATTTTTCTGTGCAAGTCGTGAATATAGGACGGACAATGTAGTCACAGTAACGAGTCACGGAATGAAAATAACGTTGAAATTGATTAGAACAGAGCTTTGCGATTCTCCAACGTAAGTTTATTAATGTTGTAGTCGGATGTTTCTCGCGTACGGTATCAAAACTAAATAAATAATACCACAAACTGAAACAATAAAGTGCCACAACAGAGAATAATATTAACGCAAGCAGTGTGTACTTTTCAGCGGCCAATTCAAATGGAACTCATATTTTCACGAACGACGCAGTTATTGCCAAATTGCGTCCACACGGGGCGTACCAGTAATCGTGAAACAATGAGGCGATTCTTTGTACGAAAACAAAATGCAAGATACTGCTTCTATTATCGAAAAAAAAGTAACTTTATAAAGAGCAAATGGTTTAATATAAATATCTATGACAAAACTTTCCAACGATACAGCGGATCAATATTATCGCAAGATCAATAAATGATGAGCTCGACGTCAGTTTGAATTTTAGTTCGTCCCAAATGGATCTGTCACAAATCAGATCAAATCAGTTTCAATACTTCGACAGTCTCGTTAATTTTCCACGTCTAAGAACGTCTTAAAAATTACCTCGACCGTAGTTCGAAAATACAAATATTGATTCGAAACGAAGGATGGTAAAATTCCATGATATATTTTTCCAAGGAAGAAACCAGCCCCGTTCGGGTCGCGGCACGATTACTGGTACACCCTGAGAATACGCAATGCGCCGCGGCCAAAAAGGAAACTGAAATTAGCGCAAGCTACGGCGCACGGAGTAATCGAGTCAAGAGTAGCAATTGATCGGGGACATTCCTCTCGTGTTAGAGAGTATTCGAATAAAACAGCAGCCACTTAGACTGTAACTTGGCGAGTACTTACAGTGGCCTATATTGTACAATATCTGTCGTCGTGCCTGTTCGGCTCGTGCTTCCTGGTCCATCATGTTGTTCAGCATTTCCAGCTTCCTCTGCAGATCGGCCGCCTCCGTGTTCTCGGGGTCTTTCGGAAAGATAGACATGGGTGGGGATATTGTTAATCGCGTCTTCTCGACGATCTCTACTGTCTCTAATCTGCGTCGATTACGTTCACAATTTTCTCTCGTTTCTCTTCGAATCGTTTCTCTTTCGCGTTTCCGCGGACGCTCGAACGAAAATTAAAAAAACCGGCGCCTCTCGGAGCTAGACTCTCTAACGAGCTTACGGGCAGGAACGCCGTCGGAGTTTTTTTTTTCACGCCTCCGATGGGCGCGAATCAAGCAATACGCTCCGTCTTAAAAGGGAACTCGTGTCGCGCGTTCTTTATGCATTACGCGACCGCGATTCAACATCGTACACGTTGCTTGGAGGTTGGACGGGTCAAAGCGTGTCGCGGATCTATTAATCATCCCTTGATTGCGCTTCGCTGTTCAAGATCTCCGACGAACACGAAAAATTCTGTCGCTCGTTCGGAAATTTCAGCTATCTTTGACTGTTAAAATAACGAACGCTCGGACCGTGTGCTTCCCGAACGAGAGAATTACCAAAGCGCCCGCAATAAATTCGAATAACCGGTGGCCACTTTGCAGCGATTAGCAGTTTAATTAGCGCGCGCGATAAGTCCCGAGACCCTTGGCATTCCGAAAAGTTCGTCCACGATTACCGCGCGCCACCGATGTCTAATTTATCCTGAACCATAATTATATGACGCTACACAGGCCGCGTTTCTAAGCCGCGTAAATTGACCTGCGGTCCCGCTCGCTTCGGCGGTTTATTAATATCGTAGCCGAACGAACCGTAGCCCCCGTCGTCCTTTAGAGATTTCCTCGTAACGCCAAGTGGGTGGATATACGCGAGAGCTTAACAACGATTTATTACGCAACCCCCGTCGACGTGTGTCGAAAACCCTCTCGCCGTTGGAGCTTAAGAAACAGGAAACGCGCGCGACGTTCGCTGCGTCTATGGCGAATCGCTTTCGCGAACGGTGCATCGATATCCTGTCTCGCGAGCGTTCGTCTTGCCGTTTCGAGGGGGCAACTTGGCCCGCCAGAACTTCGAGCAGCTACTTCTAACTCGATATTCGCGCGGGGGCGGAAGCAAAACTAGCAACTTAAGCCCTAAATGGAAACTACGTACGCGTACCGATCATAAGTTCGCCAACGCTCCTCTGTCGTTTAAAATATCTGAGCAATTAATTTTCTGTTTTTGTTTCGTGTAAAATTTTACCATCTGAATTTATGCATTGTTTTCGTTCGATGTAGGTTTCGAACGTGAACACTATATTCAGGCTCGTAGACTTGTTCATATAAGAATTACAGCGCGTTATTTTATACTATTATTGTATGTACTCTATGATATTAAAACCGCCCCTTAAATAATTTGCATTTCTGGTACATTGACCCGTTCTTTCTCGGTCTTTTTCTTTGCGTAAAAGTGGGCCATCGAAGTTGGTCAGAGTTCAACTTTTCTAATTTTATCCGTTTCCTCGTTTAGTGCAACTTTTAAGCATGGATACGTTCCTTTTCAAAAATTCACACGAGAAAGCGAACAAAGTTTGATAGAAGATCTGATTTTTCGATTATACGATTAGATAGCGGAGCTTGCGGATATTATAAGGAATATAAATTTATCTGCGTCGATCATATGTCTCATAATGTTTAATTGCAAGAATTATACATCACTATTTCTGACTACATTTGGTTAAATCGTTTTAACGTTGATTGAATAATTTTGTAGAATCGATAATAAAATTCATCAAACTTCGTTCATTTCACTGAACACTGTAACGAATTACGCGGAAAGTACATAATTGCATTGTAATGTTGAAACCGAAATTCCATTACCTCTCTATTGCATAATGTGCTTCATTGGAGGTCCAATGAAAACAATCCCTGAAAAGTTTATCGAGGAAATTTTACACCATTTGCGAATGACATTTTCGTATTGAGACATTCAATTGCTTTGCAAGTTAACCACAAATTCTTTAATTCGATTAAAATAATTTATTTGTTTCAAGATAATTATTCTCGTTTCTCTTAAATTTCAGCAATTAATATTTTTAATAATTAATTTAATACTCATTTTAACTTCTTTTTGAAACTTGGTATTGAAAATAATAATAACCGTTAAGTTGGCCGAACAAACTCTGCTAAAATAATAAACAGTTATCATTCATTATTTATTCAGCTGCATCCAGCCATCCAGAAAGATACACCAATTTACGGTATAAAAATTTCGTTCCAGGTTTGCTGGTTCTTCAGCGAAGCTTAGTCAGCAAATTATGTCTCTGCTCTGTTTTTATCTACACAATTACCAGCATATATATCATTTTAACAATTTTTCCGCATTATGGAAATAACCGACTTTAACGCGTATAACCGACGGCACACCTTACGAGCAAATATTTTAATTATATTTTCAAATTCCAAAGTTCACATAAAATTCTACTTTCGACGCAGGTCGATGGCACCTTTGAAGAATTTAATGGCGGCGTGAAACACGTTTCATAAATCATACTCGTTTGAAGTGCAAGTACGAAGTTTTTTCTCAATATTCTACACTCTTGTAACAATGGAGGTTGTTTTGAAACTTATGGTCGATAGTGTACGCGGTCGTGCCCATTAATCATTCACGCTATCGACAAAAATTATGCGTGGAACTCGATATCGGTGAAAACGAAATATGCGCAGCTCGTGTGGAGAGTACATTGATGCAGCCTTATTGCTGGTTGCTTCAGCAATCTGGACCGAGTATCGCAACCTCAAGACGGGATTAGGTTCAAGCCCCAATTCGTCGCGATAAATGTTAAATAAACCACGCTCGCGCCGAGAAAAGAACTAGAAGCACCGTTAAAAATAAATGAGAAATAATTCCAATCTTTTGTCCCGCCTATTTGTTTCATTATAAAATAGCGCAATCTGATTTCCATGTCGTGAAAGTTTTAACGCCACGATTAAGGATACAGATTCGGATTATTTCCGTGACTGACCCACTTTGTTTATTGTTTTCTTTGGCACAGAATTCGAGCGTTTAGAAAAAATCCTATGCAAAATTTATTCAGGCTGGTTTTCTAGACAATCTGGCGGCAGATCATCGATCGCGTACTCTTCCTATCGATTACTATGAACCAAGAAGCTTGATAAAGGAACGTTTGGAAAAATGTTGCGATAAAATGACGAATGAGATAAGAATAGATAGGATTCTGAAAAGCAGAGGTGTAATTAATAATGAATTAGTTTGTAGGACGTTATAGCGATACAGCACGCAAGAATTTTTCATTCGAGTCAATAGGAACAACTTTGATTTGTTCGTGTGATACTGTAAAGTGTTCTGATTCTTTCGTTGAGCCTCAGACTTTTTCGTTGATCAGATATTCGTCTCGATCTGTTTCCTGGTATCTCTGCCCACATTTTTCTCGTCGGATGCGCGTAAATGGATTCGCGCGTATTTATTAATACTTTACTCAGTAAATGTAACTTCTTTCGTAGAAACGTATCGTGCATGTATATCGTGCATTCAAATGCATCTAAGTCACGCGAGTGTTACCTTTATTGTCGGCATTCCGTCTCGTGTGTCATTCGAAGAATTATTACTCACACGTTCGAGAAAATTATTATCCAGAAAGTACCGGGTCGCGATAATCACAAAATTGCAAATTTCTCGATCGATGCTACAGAGAGGCATGATCCAAGAAAAATATGAAAAAGTCGAGTATATGTTACGAGATTAAACTTTAAAAGGAGAGAACAGCGTAATCGTATCAAACAAATTTGTATATGTTTGTAATATTTATGTAAATGTCATATGTGTATCACTTGTGTATAAAATCAGTTGCATGTAACAATGTTAATTGTAAAACTATAAAGGTACTGAAAAAATTTTAATTTGATAACTTCGTTTTATTCGCACAAATTGCTGCCAAAATAAAAATTTATTCTCAAGCAATATTTGTAAAAATCTTAAAACACATTCGCTAATATAATTCTACTATCAACAAGAAAGCCGTGACCATACTCAAAAAATTAATGCATCTCAATTATCTAGCAGAATAATTACAGTAGCTTACCTTCGTACACGATTAAGCAAACGATTAATTTTTCCATCGCAAACATATTTAAACGTTATTTTCATACGAAACTTGGGTACTGAATAATATATTTTCGAAAGTGTTCGATTCATATTGAGTCAAGTCCGTAGATTTATTCAAATATTGTAATCGTAGCCTAAAATAAAAATAACACACAACATGTTGATGACTTTGTAGCACGCAAGATCGATCCTTCTATGTAGAATTGTACATACAATTTACACGACGCTAAATTTAACAAGAAAAAATACTTTTCCCTTGTCGATGAATTTTAAACGAGTGTATCTAAAAATATAACTTTATGGATATTGATTGGATACAGTGCTTCGTTAGATTTTTACTTTCTGATTTCATAAGATAAACAAGTAATAAGGAAAATTTAAATAATACGGTTTCGAATAAGTCACAAAACTCTACAAGCGAATAATATCCTTCCAAATTTAAAGAAACGCTAATACGCTCGAGCACCGGCGAGAAAATCTTGTTAACGCTCAACAGTTAATGCGTTTCAATAATCCTGGAAAATAATTACAGCAGCTTGCCCTCGAACGCGATTAAGCAAACGAACTGTTAACGATCATTAAGGACCAACGCCGGTGAAGCCCTTCTCGAACCGAAGGGAGGCCCCCCCGTGTCTGGGTAGTCCTAATTCCCCCGTTCTCGACAAAAATCTCTCGTAATAATATCAGAAGCGTAATACGCCGCCACGAGCCCATTAAACTCGGATTTGAAGTAAGCAGGAAGAGAGAGAGAAGGAAATGAACTCAATGGTCTCGAGCGGCGACCCTGACCCACATATTTTGCGTTCCAACCCTTTCCAGCGCCCTCGGGCCACCCGGAGACACGTACAAATCCGCGGTCCCCTCCAAACGTGTAATTCCGTCCAGCAAACGACAACGGTCGGTCGGTCGTCCCTCCCCGGGTGTATTTAGCTTATT